TGGATTCTCTTGGTTTCAAGTAGCACATAGAAACTTGGGTAGGCCTGGATATAAAAGGAGGTTTGGAATAAGGTTGTGGGGGCGTTTCATGGCTCCTAAAGGCAGGCATGCAGGTGGGTCTAGGAAACAGGAGCTGGAAAGCCATCAGGAACCCAGAATAGCCTCTCTCTGGCCCTTGTTTTTCCTTTTCTTTCTTTGCAGACTGACTTACTCTGACCATGTGACTTTGGCTGTTGCTCAGAGCCTACTCCACATTTTCAGGACAGGGAATCACATTGGCCCAGTGTGGCATCAGGGTCCCACCCAGGTCCAGTTAGCCACTGGGGGCCAGGATTATAGAGTATAAAACATGCCTGAGGAGTAGGGTCACTCCCAAAGAAGTGCGTGGCTTGTGGTCTGCTCATCTACCCCATAATGTGGTCACTGTTCTACCCTCAATCTATCTTCCACCCCTGTGCGAACTTTTTGGTATGATTTTCTGACTTGTGGCTTTCAGTATTACTTAGCACATACTTTGGGTTTTTCCCCAATCTGCAGCTGTATTCTTCAGCACTTGTGGAATGTGAGGATCATGATCCATGGAATCGTGACAGGAGCTTTGATGTGGAATCAGTAAAGAGAGAAATCCAGAGAGGAAGGAGGCTGGTGAGTATCAGTGATTTTATTACTCATACAGAATGAACAGACCCCCGGGGGATGCATTCGAAAGAAAATCTATTTCACTGATAAACCAGGGGCAGAGAAGCATCTTGGAGAGCCGAAAGAAGTAGGACCCGTATTGGAAACTTAGATTCAACTGAACATTTAATATTTTAAAATAAACTACCACACATTTCATCAGTAAAGTAGTTAAGAGTTAGGATGCTTTTGGCTATAAGTAGAGAAAACCCCAGCTCAAACTGGCTTTAACAAAGAGGATGCTTATTTTCTCACTTACCAAAGGAAAACATCCCCTTCAAAGTTGCTTGCTTCAGTGGCTCCATGATGTCATCAGGGGCCCAGGTTCTCCCTCTCTGCCCTCCTGTCCCCAGCATCAACTGGTCCCCTCGTGGTCACAGGGTGGCTGCAGGCAGAAACTGGAGCACCAGGCTTTCTCGTTCACATTCAGCAGAACAGAAAGGTCACCCCCACGCATGGAGCCAGAGCCCTTCGGAAAGTTTAATCAGGTTGCACCCCTCTTTCTGCACCTGTTGCTGGGGGGTGGCCGGAACTAATCAGGATCTGCCCTTGGAGCTGGGTCAGCACCCCCTGGGTCACCAGGGGGATATCCGGGAAGGAAGGAGTGCTGAGGAGCTATCCTGCTGGGTCCATTGCAATCAACTTCCTCTGTGAAAGGCCCTTCTCAGCTTAGCAAGCAGGACAGCAAGTGTGAGCACCTCACGCTCTGACCACAACCACAGTGAGGTTAATCACTAGGGACAAACATTCATTTAGTCCTTGCAAGGTGGCAGCATCCTGCGGTAGGTGTTACACACGCCGCTCTACGTGAACTTCCTGCAACAGGTGTAATGATTCATTTTATGAATAGAAGAAATGGACAGTCCAGAGTGAAAGGGAACAGTCCAGATGGAATTCTGCAATTAGGCTCTCTCGGGCAGTGGACACAATCCTGCGGGAAGTAAGTCATAAAAACGGAGTGTGGATCCTGCCCGAGGTGTCTGCACTGTCCTAGGAATTGGCAAGACTGGCCACCGCCATTATTAGTGCTGACAGGGCAGCATCCCCAGGACTTGGGTGTGGTAAGATGGGTGAGTGGGGCGCCCTTCTGATTAGAAAGCATCAGACAGACCTCAGCTGAAAGATCGCTTTTGTTGCTCTGTGTTAAGTGGATCTGAGTGAGGAGACACAGAGCTAAGGAACCTCCATTAGATTCTAGTGGTCGTTCACATGTGAAGAGGAGCAGGCTGAGGAATGAGGGCGGTTGTCTGGCTGGAGACATAATATTCAGAAGGAAGCAGGTGCCCCTGAGAGTTCTGCAGACTTTGGGATGCAGATTTCCCTGCTGAGAAGACTCTGGGGTGGGGTGGCAGTGGAGGACCGAGGAGAGAGGAGGAAAAAGTCACCTGAGGTGATAGTCCCCCACTGACTAACAAGGACCCCTGGGAATATGTGGGCAGATACACCGAGCCCACCCACGCGGGAGTCGGTTTCACTTCTGCCGGGCATGAGCTCAGAGAGGGGCACAGGGCCGCAGGCTCCTCCCGAAGCTGGGGCTCAGGAAGCCTTCCTAGGGGGGTGGGAGGTGACAGGAAGGTGGCGCAGGGGAATTCCGGAGAGGGAACGGGAGGTGCAGAGTCGCGGAAGGCCGGAACGATCGGGGCACGTTGGGAATACTGTGAGCGCACAACGCCATGAGGTCTGTCTGATGCTTTCTAATCAGAAGGGCGCCCCACTCACCCATCTTACCACACCCAAGTCCTGGGGATGCAGCCCTGTCAGCACTAATGATGGCGGTGGCCAGTCTTGCCAATTCCTAGGACAGTGCAGACACCTCGGGCAGGATCCACACTCCGTTTTTATGACTTACTTCCCGCAGGATTGTGTCCACTGCCCGAGAGAGCCTAATTGCAGAATTCCATCTGGACTGTTCCCTTTCACTCTGGACTGTCCATTTCTTCTATTCATAAAATGAATCATTACACCTGATGCCCTCGCCGGACGCCCGAGCTTCCGCAGGGGGCTCCAGAATTCACGCAACCCTGCCCTCCTCACATGATGAGTCGCCTCCCGGTTTCACTCACAAGTAATGCTGCGTAACACCTTTGTACATATATCCTTGTGTCCTTGTTTGAGTATTACCGTAGAAATGGAATCGCGGAGTCTAAGAGAATTCCCTTTAACATTTTTGAACCGTCCCCCAGGAAAGCTTGCACCAGTTTATACTCGCGGGCATGGTGGATGAAAGCGCGCTTTTCCCAGCCCTTGACAAAAACGAGTACCGCTACTCTGGTTCATTTCTGTAAGGCTGATAGAAAAGTTTTACCTTGCATTTCGCTGGTCGCTTAAGAGGCTGGACATTATTTCTCTTCAGGCAGCTCCCGTGGTCCCAGCTCCAGCAGTTCGTCAGCGATCCCGGTGCCCAGGGGCCCCACCACGCGGCCGCTGCCCCCCACTGCAAAGCCCCTGGCCGCCCCTCCCCCCACCCACACGCCCCATCCCCCCACACCCGGCCAGCCTGGCCTGGGTTGAACCCGCCCCTCTGCAGTGGGCATGGGGCCAGCAGCACTGGCCCTCGAGCAGTTGCACAATCGGGAAAAACCCACAGATGTGCTGCCCCATCTTAGATTCGTGGCCACAACCTCAGAAGGGCCTTCAGCACTTCCCTTGTACGTTGGCTTCACCTCCACCCTCCACGTTTATTATTTCACATCCTCTTATCTCTCTTTAGAACCTGTCCCAACCCCAAGTTGACTTTGCCTGATTGTCACTGAGAAGACGGAAGCCATTAGACAGGAACTGCCCTCACCCAAGCTACTGCCCATCCAGCTCTGTCCCCTGAATCTCTGACCTCCCTCCTGTCAACCCTCCACGTGGGCTGTGGAGGCCTCCCCTGAAGGACGAGGCCCTTGCATTTCCCTCCACCCCTTCACATCAGTGTCTCCCTTTCTACTGGAGTGTTCCCCTCAGCGTATAAACGTGATCCACTGGTCCTGTCATCTTAAAAAAGAAATCCTCCCTTATACACAAGAAACTGGTGAAATACAGGCCGGGCGCAGTGGCTCACGCCTGTAATCCTAGCTCTCTGGGAGGCCGAGGTGGGCGGATTGTTTGAGCTCAGGAGTTCAAAACAAGCCTGAGCAAGAGCGAGACCCCGTCTCTACTAAAAATAGAAAGAAATTAATTGGACAACTAAAAATATGCAGAAAAAATTAGCCGGGCATGGTGGCACATGCCTGTAGTCCCAGCTACTGGGGAGGCTGAGGCAGGGGGATCGCTTGAGCCCAGGAGTGTGAGGTTGCTGTGAGCTAGGATGACGCCACGGCACTCACTCTAGCCCGGGCAAAAAGAGTGAGACTCTGTCTCAAAAAAAAAAAGAAACTGGTCAAATACAATGTCACTTCTCTGTCCTTATTTAACTCTTCAGTAGTACCCATCATACAGCTGTCCATTCCTTGCACCTTGAAGCACTTTCTTCTTTTGGCTTCCTTGACACACTCCCAGTGTCCCCTACCTTTCTGGCCATTTCTTTCCAAGTACTTGGGCTGTTTTCTCCTCTGCTCAATTTCTAAAATTTGGAGTCCCCCAAGGCTCTGTGCTGGGCTCCTTCCTGGATCTGAATATCCTTCCTAGGTGGCTCACCCAGTTCCCATGGCTTAAAACCATACACATGCCAAGGACTCTCAAATCTATCTATCTCCAGCCCTGTCCCCTCCCTAGAATCCCCCAGACTACCAACCTGATCCATGCACCTGGATATCTGATAGCATCACTGGCCAAAAAAGAACACAATTCCACCCCCTGTGCACACATGTACATGCATGCACACACGCACACGCGTGTGCACACACACACACTCACACTCACATACACACACATACTCCAGCCAAACCTGCTCATCCTTCATTCCAATAAATGGCACCATTATTATCCATTTGCCCAAAGCCTAAGGATTATCTCTTCCTTGTCAAATTCCCAGCCCATCAGTGTTACCTGCTAGACGCATCTTGCATCCATCCACCCACTTCCTTCAGTGCCACTACGCCAGCACAGTGAAGGCACCAACCTCCCTCTCTCAGCGGTTGCTGAAGAGAACTGACACTCAACCTGCTGCTCTCCTGCCGTCTCTACCGCAGCCCCTTCTCCACCCGGCAGCCTGGCAGCCGGAATGATCTCTTAAAAGCATTAGTCAGGTTATGTTCCCCTTGCCCCAAGATCCAACCCCAACTCCTTACCCTGGCTCTAAGCCCTACGTGAGCCAGCCCTTTATTACTCCTTCGATCTTTCCTGATGCTCCCCCTTGCCCACTTTGCTGTGCCAGCAACACTGGCTGTCCCTCTGGTCCTTCCAGTCAGCTGGCCACGGCTCTTAAGGCCTTCAGCCTAGGATGTCTTTCCCCTGCGTTTTCACACGCTAGAAGCCCTCACATCATTATTCAGATCTCGGCTTCTGTGTCACCTCTTTAGATGTGACACTTTACTGACCACCCAGTCTGAGGTAGGGACGCAATGACACTGTAACTTGGCTTTATTTATTTATTTATTTTTTTGAGACAGAGTCTCACTCTGTTGCCCGGGCTAGAGTGCCGTGGCGTCAGCCTAGCTCACAGCAACCTCAAACTCCTGGGGTTCAAGCAATCCTTCTGCCTCAGCCTCCCGAATAGCTGGGACTACAGGCATGCGCCACCATGCCTGGCTAATTTTTTCTATATATTTTTAGTTGTCCGATTAATTTCTTTCTGTTTTAGTAGAGACGGGGTCTCGCTCTTGCTCAGGCTGGTCTCAAACTCCTGACCTCAAGCAATCCTCCCGCCTCGGCCTCCCAGAGTGCTAGGATTACAGGCATGAGCCACCGCGCCCGGCCTTTATTTTTAATTCTATACAATGCATACATCACTTCGTGAGATGCTTTAAAATGTGCTTTGACCACAGTACATTCTCTCCGCTAGCACGTGCACATCACGCAGGCAGGTACCTTCTCTGCTTTGTCCACTTCTGTTTTCCTCATCCTAGGACTGGGCCTGCCACATCCCAGCTACCACACACTGAACAAATGCCACATTCTTATACAGTCTTTACATGAATGAATGTTTATCGGCCACTTGTATTTCTTTTTCTGTGATTTGCCTGTTGCTATTTTTCTGTGAGTTATCAGAATCTGAACATTTTAACAGGCTGCTAACGTTTTCTTTCAGTCTTTTCCTTGTCTTTTCATATTTTTTAAATGGTATCTGTCACTATACAAATGGAAGTTTAAAATTTTTATATAGTCAGATCTGTCAGTCTTTTTCCTTGTGGCTTCTAGATTTCCTGTCTTCCTCAGACAGCCTTCCTCACCCCAATACCATGTCTCTTTCTCCTGCATTTCCTAATTTTTTTTGAAGAGTTTTTTTTTGTTGTTGTTGTTTTGCTTCATGTAGTTCGAGATTTAATCCACGTAGAATTTATATGGGAGCATACTGTGAGGTGGGGATCTAACTTTATTTTTTTTCCTAGATGCACAGCCAGCTGCCGCCCCACCGCCAAAATTAAATGGCCATTCTTGTATGCACTGATGTGAAATTGTACCTTTGTCATAATCTTATTTGTCCCCTATGTTTGAATTTTCTTTAACTACTTATATGCTTGCTTGTGCTGCTACTGGGACATCATATGAGCATCTCCTGTTGGCAAGGTGACTCCATTGTGCCTCCGGATCACTCGGCCAGAGTATGACGGTCACAGCCTCAGTCCTGGCTGTGTTCCCCTTAACCAGGGAGGCTGCAGTGGGCGCACACTCTCTGCCCAACCATCCCCAGACCACTTTCCTCTGTAAAATACCAAAAGACTGGATAGATAGATAAAAGCAAGGGATCAAATAAGTTGAACTAAGAAAAAAATGTTGTTACTCAAGAGGATTTTTTTTTTTTTTTTTTTGGTTTTTGCCCTACCACATAGATTCCAAAGAGGTTTCCCTTATTTTAGCTCAGATAACTCTGTAAGAAAAGGTGCTGTCGCCCTAGGGAGGAATCAGTCTGAGCAAGGAGGAGTGACTGGCTCGAGGTCACACAGCTCTTAGTGGCCTAGCCAGCAGCTGCTCCATGCCCCAGCCTCAGTGTCCCCAACAGTCCGCTTGTCTAGAGGTGGGTAAGTGTGTCAGCTCTGCTTTTTAGAAATCTCTTTTTAAAAGAAAGAAAGAGATTGTTTTTGAAACAAAAAGCATTCTCTGCTTTTAATCAGATCATTAATCAGATCCGTGCCAGGCATTCTAGTTAGCTGAGGTTTGGCTGAAATCTCCAAGTGAGCGGCCAAACGTAAGAACTGTACCTAATGTTTGTAGCTGAGGATAGAATTTTGCTAACGACATCCAGGCTAAAAATACAGGGCTGCTGACTTAAATAATGCTTAACGATATTTTTAAATTTTAACAAAAATTATGGAAAACAGGTGCTTACTCAGTAAAATCTATTTTTCTGTAGAAATGCTCACATTGTGGTGACAAAGGAGCCACCGTGGGATGCGACATAAAGGCTTGCCCCAAGTCATACCACTTTTTCTGTGCCAAGAAGGACCATGCAGTTCTACAAACTGATAAAGCTCAAGGAACTTATAAGTATTGAATAAAACATTTTTAAAACCACATTTTGGGGGACTGGGCTAAAGAATAGTTAGATTATGACAAGGAGGCTTTCGAAACTAATTTCATGTAAATGGTTTTCTAATGAGAACATGGTTTGGGGGACCCCCCCGGTGGGAACCTTGACTTCACAAGATCTTCTCTAACTATCATAGGGAGAAAATAATGCACGGTTTTGTTGTTTTTGTTTTTGTGAGACAGAGTCTCACCTCATCACCCTGGGTAGAGTGCAGTGGCGTCATCATAGCTCACTGCAGCCTCCAACTCCTGGGCTCAAGGGATCCTCCTGCCTCAGCCTCCCAGAGTGCTAGGATTACAAGCATGAGCCACTGTGCCTGGCCTGCTTTATAAATGTTAACTTATTTTAATCCTCACAACAGTCTGGTGAGTTAGACACTATTATCTCCATTTTACAGATGAGGGAACTGAGGCCCTGAGACACTTAGTAACTTGTCCCCTGATCACATAGCTAGTAAGTGGCAGAGCTTCAGGGCTCCCAGGTCCTTGCTTTTTGCCACCAATTCATCTTTAGGCCTAGGGGCCATATATTCTAGAATAATATAGGCAAGGCTACCATTAAAAGAAGTTTGCTAAATAGTTTAAAATATGATTTTGAGCAAATTTCCTAAGTATTTTGTTGCTTGAGACATTAGAAAGGAAATGTGTAAATACGTTAATTTTGCACTACTTTTTATATTTGACTTGCTAAGAAACTCATGGGTTGTTATAGTCTTGGAATTTATTATTTACCTTCCCGAAGGCTTGTTTTTATTTTGACCTTCACAATGACCTTAAACATAAGATCAAACAAAAAGGAGTGAATTTCTTGCTATATGTTAGAGTTTGAAAAAATATACTGATCACACATTAGTAGAACTAATGAATAGGGACTCGATAAAAGTCTTTTTTATCATTGTTTTATCAAGGAACAGGTGAACTTTTATGCATTTTTAATTGAATTTAAACATTCTGAGTGCCTATCATACATAGACACCTTGAGATACAAAGGAGAGGCCTAGGGTGGTGGCTCACACCTGTAATCCCAGCACTTTGGGAGGCTGAGACAGGAGGATCACTTGAAGCCAGAAGTTGGAGACCAGCCTGGGCAACATAGTGAGACTCCATCTCCACCAAAAAAAAAAAAATTAGCCTGGCTTGGTGTTACACACCTGTAGTCCCAGCTACTTGGGAGGCTGAGGCGGGGGGATCACTTGAGCCCAGGAGTTTGAGCTTACAGGGAGCTATGATCACATCGCTGCACTCCAGCCTGGGTGGCAGAGCCAGACCCTGTCTCTAAAAAAAACGGGAGGAGGAGGATAAGATATAGACTGAACCTCAGAGAGGTTATCTCCTAGTGGGAAAACAAGAAAGGTCAATGCTAGTAGAAGTACAGGGCACGGCGAGGGCAGGAGGGGGTTTGCATGAAAGGAGCTTGGCCTTGAGAGTTGTCGACACTGGGGAATGGTGGGGACACGGGGTTCATCCTCATATTTTCTGCACTTGCAATATGTTTGCAAAAATTTAAGTACTTGGCAAATGAAAGTGCTCAGAGATACAAAATCCAAAAGGGAAGGAGAATAATTTTGAATGGGTGTTGCTGGGAAGGCTGCATGGAGGAGGTGGGACGAAACCACACCTTCCGCTAGGGGAGGAGGGGTCTGCGCCAGGGAGTTGGCACTACGGGGAAAGAAGGGAAGGGAGCTGGGGCTGAGGAGGAAGAAAGGCTGGAAAGAAAATGGCACCTGAGTAGTTTCTTAAAATTCATTCCATTTCTTCTTCGTCATAGCCTGCTATGCTAACTTTTTTCTCTTGGAGGACATTGATCAATTCTAGGTTCCTTGTAGGTCAAATCTAAGACCTGGGGAAGACACTTGTTGATTTGAGAACGACTTTTCCCCAAATTAATGCATGCAATTTTGTGGTGCTTATTGTTGCAAATCAGCAGAATTTTGTGTAGTCAGATGGAAATTTGCCTGCCTTAGAAGATGCTGGATCTTTAGGTATCTCTACATAGTAAAATCCCACTGACCACTGTATATGAACTAGTATTGCTCAAGACAATTTAATCAGCACTCACTCCTTCAGAGAACGTCATGATCTTCCTGAGGGTCAGAGGGCAGAGAAGCATCCATCTGCACTTGATGTGGGTCACTAATTTTACACAGGCTTAAACAGCACTTTGTAAATACATAAATAAATAAATAAATAAACAAGGTGAAGCCATCATGAAAAATAGGTTAGTAACTTTTAAAATCACAATAGATATAATTGGAAAACTATAAATAAAAATATTTTACAGTTCTTTGAAATTGCATATTTTCAGATTGTTATGCCAAAGACATGCTTCATCACTGGGCATCCCTTCGAGTGGTAAGTTTCTAAAATTCAGTCCTGTGGGTTTAAGGAAAGGTACATTTAGGTATGAGGAGGAATAGTCTGATTTCGTAGCCTCATTGAAGTAAAATACAAATTTTTGAGTTAAAATTTTACATGCCTATAAAACTGTCAATTTCTTTGTTTACCATGTAATTGACTGATTTTTCTTCTTTGTCAAGGAAACCTATTCTCTCAAGGCCATTCTCTGGTATCTTTCATCTTCATTGCACTCACAGGCCCAAACTAACACACTGTAAAAAGCACTGACTTTTGTGACTGCTTCTCGTCTAGAAGAATATTAGAATTTTTAGTACATAAAATTAATAAAGTGCTACACATTCCCTGAATGAAAATTTCCTAAGAATGTATGGTTAGCATTTTGGTTCTAATTAAGGCAAATTGGGCTTGGCTAACTAGAGTTATGGGATGTACATTCATTCATGAGTGGGACAGCAGTGTCTTAGCCTCACTGAATCTGGAATGTTCACCGTGAATTGGAGTCAGGACCTCTTTGGAAAAGACTTAGTTCTGTGTCCTGCCAACTGCATTTTATGGTGGTAAACACCACTCTCTAAATAGCATCTCTACCCTCATTTTTCAGTCACTATCCTTTTAACTCATTAGGAAATTCTATGAAAAATACTGCTTTCAATCAGTGTTTATTAACAGGGAAAGAAGACAATCACGTTATTAGGTTAAAAAAGATTATAACACTGTCTAAAATGAATCGTCTCCCGCAAGGAAACTGTTGTTTCTTTTGAATGATTCCAAAAATTTTCTGTGTATATGATCACACCTACTATTATACTTTGCTTTTGTCACGTGCTACAGCTTAGAGATACTTCCACATCAGCACAAATAGAATCTACCTCATTTTTTAAAGTCTGCATAATATTCCATTGTATAGCTGTGATACAATTGGACTATTCGCTGCTTGATGAACATTTAGGTTATTTCCGCCTTTTTCTATTACATTTCATGCTATAGTTAACATTGTTCTCCATACATCTTTGTGTCTTTATGTAACATATTAGGAAAACTTCTATAAATTGCTGGGTCAAAGAATATAAACAATGAAACTCTGGACCAAACTGTTGGCTAGTTATCTTCCAAAGAGGCTGCAGCAGCAGTACACATTTACCCCCATTCTTGCAAACATATATATTAAACATCTTCATCTTTATCAATCTGATAGGTGAAAAATGTTTTCTGTTGCATATCTTTATTTACGGGTCAAATTAAGTGCATTCTCATATCTTTTCACCAGTTGTTTTCTTATGACCCAATTTGTTCATTTTTCTATTCCATGAACCCTCTCCTTAGGGTTCCCCATTTGCCCATTTTTCTACTAGATTATTTATCGTTTTTGCATTAACTTTTAAGATCTTTTTATATTTTAAAAATTAACTCTTTATCATATGTGGTACAAATGCTCAGTCTAAGTTTGCCCTATCTTTTGACTTTATAGTAATAATAATTTTTGGCATATAAGAGTTTTATATTTGGCTGGGTGTGCTGGCTCATGCCTGTAATCCTAGCACTTTGGGAGGCTGAGGCGGGAGGATCAGTTGAGGTCAAGAGTTCAAGACCAAGCTGAGAAAGAGAAAGATGCTGGAGCTATAAAAATGGAAAAATTAACCGGGCATGGTAGTGTGCACCTGTAGTCCCAGCGACTCAGGAGACTGAGGCAGGATCATCACTTGAGCCCAGGAGTTTGAGGTTGCAGTGAGCTATGATAATGCCACTGCACTCTAGTCCTAGCAACAGAGTGAGACCCTGTCTCAAAAAAAAAAAAACAAAAACAAAAACAAAAAAGAATTCTGTATTTTATGTAGTTAAACAGTAATCTTTTCCTTTATGGCTTCTAATTTTTACATGATTTATATTTTTAGGTAAGCCTCCAGAAAAGAAAAGAAAAAGAGGAAGGAAGAAATATCTCCCGACAGACATTCATTTACAGGTAATTTGACTTAATTTTTATAGCTTTAAATTTCTTCATATGGTTCTTATTTAAACCATTCTGAATTTCCACGGAAATGTACTTTCCAAATCATTTGAATGAACAGCGTTTGTATAATACACATCTTCATTTGTGTTCTCAGCCCAGATGGAGCTGAGACTGCCCCGAAGGTGTTCCGGGAAGAATCCCATCTTCGGGAAAGTCTTAGATAACTTATAGATGATAGAACCATAATGAGATGAGTATTAATGAGCAGCTGGAAGTTCCAAGGACATAACCTTCAGGAAGTGACATATCCACAGCTCCCATAAAGCATCCTCTGGCATCAAATTAGTGAGAGCCGTGTGACCCCACAGGGTGGTGAACGTCTTACAGTGGGGCGGAGGGTACAGTCAGTCATCCTTACAGAGCCAAGCATGTCCCAGCTGCATGGTCCACACCTGATCTAATTTGCAACTCCTATCAATTTCTGGATTATTATATGTAAAGTGTATGAAAATATTTTGGGGATTTGAAACAGTTTTTACACATCAGCTCATATAAGCTAAATTCATATGAGCCAGCAACCTTCACCTCTTCCTGTTTATACAAAAGGTGCTCATCAAACACCTCCTGATGTTTTATTACACAAAGCAAAAATACATCTGATGTTTACATCCACGTAAGAATATGGGGCATGATTCTCACCACAGGCATATCATTTAATTATACACAGCAAAAGCCTGGTTTTCATTTCACACAAAATTAAATGCCAATAGTAAAATCAATGTAAAGTAATCTTGATTTTCTCTCCTTCTAGGCACCTGAAACAATGAAATCAAATACATCCATGAGACAAATGAAGGAAGAGCCCGGCAGACACACAGGTTTGTTATAAGTGACATGTGTACCAAATATGTACTACATAAAGTACTTACAAACATGTCAACCCATGCCTTTCAAAGGTGGTATCCCCCTTTAATCTTTATTCTTCTAGACTTACAGTTACTAAGGGGAGTATAAATCTTTATCATAACTATGCACTCTGTCATAACCCTAGCATAGCAAAATAGCTTGGGTTGGAATCTTTTCTTCAGTATTAAGAAAAAATACACTTCTTAATAAAGAGGCTGCCAGGCTTGCCTGCGCTCAGAATCCAGTCACGTGCCTGCCACCCCTCACACTGACGCCAGCGACTGCAGCTTTCTGTGCCTTCAGGAAATAGACATCATTAACAACGCATAGTGACGGTGACAGGAAAATGACAGGGGCTGTCATCTCAAAGATTTGAAGCTAAATTTTTAAAAATCCTCTTCATTCATATAGTTATTGTGAGCAGAGATGTTTTTATTTTCACTTTTTGTAACATTTCATTCATTGTTTCGGCTGGCAAAAAATGAGGTGCGGTGCAGTTACAGCCAATAGAGAAAGTAAAGGTGCCGTTTTATTTTGCTAATTATGCTCCTCCACTGCGGGGCAAGGCCTGAGGAAGTGAGCATGGAGGGATTTACCATCCGCTGCCCTGAGACAGACCATTTCCTCTTGAAGTGTTTTTCTTATTCTTAGATGCAACTGTGAAAGTTCCTTTCCTTAAGAAATGTAAGGAAGCAGGACTTCTTGATGACTTATTTGAAGAAATATTAGACAAACTTCATTTGATTCAAGACAGACTCATGGATGAGAGGACTTCAGAATCAGGTACTGAAATAGCAGTATTTCTAAGTATATAGACTTCTCGTAGACCTAGGTGTGAAACAAAACCAAACCAAGGGAAAAAAAAATGACCCGTTTCTCTTTTCCTTTCCTTCATCTCATTCTTTAATAAAAATAATTGTACCACATCTACTGTCTTTTATAAATCGACAGGATGTGGGTAATTCAAACCAAGCAATTTTGTCCAAAGTATGCTGCTGCCCCGAGCTGCGATGTGTTTTCCCGAAGTGCGTAACAGTTGGCCGGTTAGAGCTGGATCCAGTCCCACGGGTGCGCCCACCGTCCTGCACGTGTGTCATTAAGATCTGAGAATGGTGTCATGTTAACGGTTTTTATTCGACTCAAATTCTATTCCTTGATAAACCAAGTGTCCTTTTTTAATAATCTTAAAGTGTAGAAGAAGGAATTTTAATGTTCTGACTGATGTTTAGTTAAATATGAACTTTTAAAAAAAGTTTCCTTCTTAAAGAGCTCTTTGTGAAGCTGAAGTTCCATTTGTATGGGCAGGTATGTAGCTACTTAGCCTTCTCATAACCTACATCATGAGCTTAAAAACTTTAGTACAAATACAGTTATTTTACAAGGAAAAGCTGAATAGTCTATATTGTAGGTAACAATGTAAAATGTGTGCTTATTTGAAAGGGATTATTTTCTATAGGACAAAGTTCAAAAGTAAAATTAAGAGTAAACATTTCCAAAAGCTCATTCATTACATTCTTTTATTCGTTTATTATTTTGTCTAGATCAAACACTTCTCAAACTTGAGTGTGCCCAAGAATCACCCAGAGGGCTTGTGAAAACAGATAACTGGGCCTCCTCCCACCCCCCCAGTTCTGATTCAGTAGAAATGCTAAGAATTATTTCTGCCATCTGCCATTTCCCTGGGCTGCTGCAGCTGCAGTCGAAAAATAAAGTGCCACAGTAGATGACTACTCTCTTTACTCTTCCCTGTCTGGGGTTATTTTCGGAGGAGTTTCTGCCTATACAAATTATTTAAGTTAAACTTAATACTGAAAATGTTTTTCTCCCTCTAGAGTATGAAGAAATGGGGACTTCACTTTTTGACTGTAGATTGTTTGAAGACACATTTGCACATTTTAAAGCAGGTATTTGAGTTATATAATAACCAAACAGCATAGTTTAGAAATATTTATCATAGATACTGAAATAATATCATGGTATATAGGTGATAAAAATCACTTTATAAGAATGTTCACTGTTTTATTAAATGAAAGCCCATTATAAAAACAGCACGACCCCCACCACACACAGAAGAAAACAATGTATATATGCGCACATGCGCACAGAACAACGGCACGGTAGAGGCACTAGGTATTTGCAGGTGGCTGGGTAACAGTGATTTCTTTTGTCTTTTAGTGCTATATTGTATTTTCCAAATTTTCTACATATACACAAATACTTTTGTAATCAGAAAAAACTCATTAGAAGAAGAAACAAAAACTTGATTCCAAAATTGCAGAGTGTTTTGGCACACGTGTGGGTGCAGGCAGGAGGCGGGGCTGCGATAAACCATCCTGCAGCTTGCCTCCCTCTCACTTGGTAAGATATGCAAAAATTTCAATGGTCCCAATATTAATCGTCAAATCTAATCGCTTACCAGCGGGAGGAGGGTTGTGACAGATTCTAAAAGTTCAAAAATGAGCAAAAATAGCCAAGAAATTTTTGTAGAAGAAAAACTGGTGTGAGTCTGGGGGAGGGAGACTTAACTTTGATAAAATGTCAACCATTTATTGGGTGAGTCCTCCTTTCAGCATTAAGATGCCTTCAAGACAGGCCAGATTTCCCCTTGTTTATGAGTCTGTTCTGACCTCTCTCTCGAGGCTGCCACACATCGTTGGGTGGCTGTGCACGGCCCACAGAAATTGGGGTGAATGGCTCCACACACAGCGCCCTAACTCTGTTCTTGCCATGGAGATACTCGTCTATCCAGCAAGTGGTATTAAGACAATAGGTTTTCCCTGTGGAGAAAACATTAGTTCATATCCCTATACCAACATACTATCTTTCTCATTTTGGCTTTCTATATTATACACATTTCTGTTTGAATTTTGTATTGTATTTATAATCAGCAGAAAAAAATAGTTTTAAAAATCTACTAAAAATAGTGTCTCTTTTAACCGTCTCTTGGAGGATGTCTGCTAATGGAAGTATCTGGCTTTTTTGTTTTTTTTTTTAAAGAAGCAGCCAGCCTTTAAAATCTTTTTCTAAAAAGCTTTAGTTTGTAGGGGACTTTGTGTTTTTCTTTCATGTACAAGTTACACATTGGGAACGTGTCACACATCATTACTTGGACGGGCTGGCTGGGAGCATGGACTGTACAATGCAGTGTTTGGGGTGCTCAGGACTCCAGGAGACACTACTTGCAAATGCACAACGACCAATCTAAAAGGCTTAACTTTTGACACCCTAGTTGATAAAGACTTGATTAATCTAGCCTTACTAATGTTTCGAGCTTAACTACAGGCAGCATTTATTCTGAAGAAAGATTATATATCTGTGTATTTTAAAACTATTCAATTTTGAGGTTTTTAAAAATTATGTTGCCTCTGAGCACTATTCGTTATCTATAAGGCCTAACTAAAGTAACTTATTCCTAAGTTTCCACACTGAAAGTCTTCCTATTTCTAAATAAAACCAAAAGCTTTTATGTGACATTAAAAATTGGATGCAGTTGTATGAAAGATTTGCCCTATCCTTGATATTCTAGCCCCATTCTCTCTGTTATCATCTCTCAGCAAGTGGGTATAGTGTAACATGAAGGTGATACAGTTACCGGTTTTTGTGGTTTTTGCTATTCATTACAGACATTTTGCACAATGTTTTTAAGTTCTTAAAGCTATATATAAGGGACTTGTTCTGCTATAAACGTATACCAAAACCTTAAAGATTTACTGACAAGCTTTATGTGTCATAAATGCTAGCATTCTATCCTGAATTAGAAAAAAGAGGAAGCAAAGGCATAGAAGAACCAGATTTTGCTCACAAGACTCTAGATTCTTTTCATTTGAAGCACAAGTGTTGTGTACTCTGTACTTGCATGTGAAAGGGGCTAGAAATAGTACATTATTTTTAACAAAACTACTGAATAATCTGAAATCACTTTTTCTTTTCCTAGCAATAGAGAATAAAATTCGTGAATCTCAAGAAAGGCTGCAGAAGCTAAAGGAAGAGATTGAGCTATTTCAGGACCTAAAAAAAAGCTTGGGTTCTTTTCAAGAAAATAGAGACCTTAGGTCAAGTTCCACATCCATATCGTCCCTGTCTTCTTAAGGATTACCATTTCCTAAACCAGATGTCAGGAAAAATGGCCATCAGGCTCATAACCAGAGATCTATGAAAAACCACTTCTTCAGGACTAGGCCTCTTACCTCACCCTGGGCCTGAACTGCAATTCCCACCAGCTCTTACCTCTTCTTGCCAACGGGGTGTTTATTGCCCCTCCTCTGTCTTCATCTCACTTTTACGTGCCCTCTCCACCAAAATGTTTCTCAGATTCTGCTTCAGTTAATTGGATCCTGTCCCCCATCTCTCCCACCCTCTGCACTTAAAATCCTGTGGGTGGCCTCTTGCTGGTGCATTCCCTCCCCCCACGGTGACCTAAGTGGATTCCAGTAACATACCAGGTGCTACTAACCCAGGGCCTTTGCATATCCCTTGTGAAGTCTTAACTCCTCTTTCATCTTTGCCTACCTGCTCCTCCTGCAGATCTCACTATAAATCTCCCTTTATTCCCTCTGAGAGGACTTTTCCTTCACATCATTTCTCAGTGTGACCGTATCTTACATCACACTAATAGAGTACAAGCTCTCTGAGGGCAGAAACTCACCATTCCTGTGTTTTGCTCACTCTCACATTTCCAACACCTACCATGCTCATTAAATGTTTGTAGACAAATGCATAAAATGCTCTTAACTGCTGAGACTAGTTCCATAATGGGACCGTAATGGATGCTGGATATAATAAATTTGAATGTACTACTTTACTTGTAACAAATTGACCGGTCTTCATGTCACAAAGTCTACTTTTTACAAAATTTCTTTTTTTCTTACCGCTCAGTTTAAGCAAAAAAATAAAAAAATATTTTTTAAAAATGTCTTTTCAGCCTCAGTTATCACATGGGCATTTGTCACCTTCAAAACAAACACCTAAATTTTAAACTGGACTCTTTGAATAAGAACATCAGCCGGAATATCCAAGAAGGAAAATAAATTAATAGTTACATTTTTCTCAACTGAACAATATATGGTTCAGATTTTTATGCCCACACCAGCATGCCTGACCCCTGAAAACTTCACACTCACAATTCTCATTTTTCACCATGGTCCTCTCATTTGCAGTAATGCTACATTTCAAAATGGGTTGGAACTGAGTCCCAGCATGGTGCCTGGCCTGTCACTAGCACTCAAAATTATTTGTTGACGGAAGAATATGACATAGATGAAAAGGAACATTCCATTCCTGCTGTAATGGCAGTCCTGGCCCAAGTCCTTATTACGTGAAGGACAAAATCTAAAGCAGTGGTTTTCAAATTTGGCTGCCCATCAGAATCATCTGGGACACTTCAAAAACTACAGAGGCCAAGACTCCATCGAGACCTCTGGATAAAGATTCCCCCTAGTGTTACTGTCCAGCCAGGTTCATTTGCCTGCTGCCCAAGAGGAAGCCAATACACCAAGACAGCAGGGGTTACAGCAGAGAGAGTTTAATTCCACATAGTGCCAAACGGGGAGACAGGAGGAGTTTCTCAAATCCGCCTCCCCAGGCATTTTGGAGACAGGGTTTTTAAGGATAGTTTGGTGGGCAAAGGATCAGGCAATCAAGTTTGCTAACTGGTTGAGTTCGGGTGGAACCATCGGTTCCTTGGTATGGGCACCTGGGTGGGTCAGCCAATCTGCTGGAATGCAGGTTCTTGGGTGGGAGTCACAAGACCAGTTGAGTCAGCTCCTTGGTATGGGCCACTGGCCTGTGTGGGTCAGCCGATCCACTGGAATGCGGGACCTGGAAGGTATCTCAGAAACTACCCCTAGGTTTCGAAAGGGTAATCTTATAGAGAAAGCTAAGAATGTTTATGACCACCAGATATGTGACTCCAGCATAGCAGATGGGGACAGTGGCTAATTATCATTTTAGCTGGGTCTGTGCCTTGTTTTTAGCTAGGCCCTCACCACAGTTCTCGCTTTGCACCCCTTTATTAATTCGTAGGGGCGGTTTCCCTAGTCTAAGTGATCACTGCAGCTTCAGCTCCTATCCCGATATAACACGTCTTACAGCAAAGCTCATCTAATTGTCTTGACGTCATGATTGTCATTAAAAAAATCTCCCCACTTTACTGTCAAATTGAATCTGTCATTTGCAGCAGGTAACTTGGTACAAGGGAGCACATGTGTTTGGGGTCATAAGGGAGGCAAATGTTGGCTAAGTGCTAGAACAGACGGGTCTGCCCTTCAGCTATCCCTCTACTGAAGAACTTGAATCAAATTCTTTAATCTATCTGGGAATAATTCTGTCTACCTGATGGGACAAAATATAGACACTAAATACGAAAATGTATTTGAAGCACAGAGTGCAATGCCTGGCACAATGTGGGAAATAAATGTTCTCTCTCACACATACTCCCCTTGCCAACATTTCCTGGCTTATTTTCTCCATTCTAACCAAGCAAACTTGCTTATGGTAAGTTCTGGAAGGCTCATCAGCCCCCATCTCTAAGCCCTTGCTTGTGCCCATTGTTTTGGAGATGAGCTAGGAAGACACTTTGTGTTTCCCCCTACACTGCACAAGCATAATCTTCAAACCAACTGCTTGTCATGTTAACCCTATTTGCTTTTCTCTCACTGACTATTTTGAAAAGCTGTTTATAAATATCTTATTTTGTTAATTCCTAAACTTATCTCCCCTATCTCCTAATAATTTATATGTTACTTGAGGATAGGGACTGTCTCTCCCTTCATTTACAAGCACCCCCAAAGGATTCAGATACATTTTTCTGCAGTGACAGTTTAACTGTACTATCTTTCAGCAGGAATAAAATTCAAGGATTTCTGTGATATGTGTTTGTGTACAGTTGAAAATCAAGCAGTTGACATGTTCATAGTGGCACCTATTTTTAGCCTGATACTTGCTAAGAATACACTACTGATTTTTTTAAAAATTGTGGTATAATATACATAACATAAAATTTACCATCTCAACCATTTTTAAGTGTACAGTTTAGTGGCACTAAATACATTCACACTATTGTGTAACCATCACCACTATCCACCCAAAGAACTCTTCGTACTGCAAAACTGAAACTGTCCCCATCAAACAACAGCTCCCTGTTCCGCTCTTTCCCCAGCCCCTGGAAACCACCACTCTACTTTATGTTTCTGAGTACTCTAGGTACACCTCATACAAGGGGAATTCACACAGTATTTGCCTTTTTGTAACTAGCTTATTTCACTTAGCATAATGTCCCCAAGGTTGAACCATGTGTCAGAATTTCCTTCCTTTTAAAAGCTGCATATTAATGATTTTTGAAGGGGAAAAAGAACTCTACAAGCCTGTTTTACAGGTTACTTTATTAACATGTCATTTTAAACATAACATAAATACAGCCTACATACTACAATATCAAACATTGTTCCAGTAAGAAGTTCAAGAGTACATTTAGGGCTATTTTAAGAAATGTAAATACTTTGGCTTCTGTTATTACATCAGACGAAAAAAAAACAATCAAAGAACAGTTTCGTCTCCTGCTACGATTAACAACAAAACCAAGTAGAAAAATAACAGGGTGTATTAAAGAAAAAAAAAACTCAAGTACTTTTTGAAGGACGTATTCTCTTTACTACCATACATATTCATACAAGCTACTCAGTAATCTAATGTGAGAAGTGGTTCTTCACTTGTATTAGGAACTCAGTAAATATTTGTTGAATGTATTATCTATGAATATGGATCTACTACTTTAATTTGTGCTTTTTTTAAGAAGTTTCCTTTTCAAGTAAAAGAGCAATAGTAAACATACTGAAGTTCTCATTTTGTTCAGATCATGAGCCTACAGAACAGTGATTGTTACAACATTACCCATCATAGCTAATAATAAAATTAATATGCTTTTATCAAACTAGTAAGAAAAATTCCATGATGTTTCAGAACTAATCCTAACCTAGTAATTCACTGGGCTTCAATCACTTGTGATATGCTCAAGAAAAGGGGCTGGGGCTGCTAGGTTTGAATTTCTTTCATCTACTGATGAATTCCTATCTTTGGGGTCTCACTCCCCCGACACTCCAATATACACACGTTTAAAAACATGGCTAAAAACAGTAGCTGCAGCATGTCTTCGCCCTTTTGTTAGTTTGGCTCTGAAAACTATTCAGGCTCCACATTCAGAAGAGGGACATCCAAGCAGGAAACAAAGTTCACTGAAGGAGCTCACACAGATGCAAATGAGTTCACAGACCAAAGAGCAAAACAGAGCTTTGTTCTTAAAGTGAGCTCACTGGACACACGTGATAGAACTCAGAGTTGACCACTCTGACACGCCAAAGTCACGTTTCATAACTAACTGTCCTTTAACAGGATCTTTTCAGGAAGAGCATAATTTCAACCTTTTTCAAGATTAAATTATGCTAAATACTATACCTAACAGTTAAAAGCAGAGGAACATCAAAGGTGAAAGAAAGGTGGTAAAGTTTCAAATAAGCAAATTTATGATGGTATTTGGCCTAGATAAGGTAGATAAAGCAAATTCCAGTAAGTCCTATAAGAAAGCTGATTTTAAGAACCACTTCTTCAAGTCATATGTAGCAGATATGATGATTTGGCAGTCGTAATTTAGGAAGGCAAGAGTATACCGCGTGTCATTATTTTCCTCTTAGGAGTTAACATTTACAGAAAGGGGGGCAATTTAAACTTGAGTTCTCAATTTCTATTTTATTTGGATAAGTAGTAGGGATTCTAATTTATGTAACATTCACTTTTACCCAAAGGAAGTTTCTTTCGTTATCAATGTTTCATGGATAGTTCTAAATTACTATTCTTTATGCACTTAAATCTTAAGAGAAATCCTGGCTAACTTAGAAATGTATCTTTATGTAATTATTGTTTCAATAGGTTTAACTCATGTTAAACTGAATATCTGATACACCTTGAAGTTAAAAGAAGTCATCAATAACGCAAGCACACGAACAAAAGCCTCAAATAATCTTTACTATTCCTTCACAGTAAGGATCCTGACCTAGCAACTAACACAGCACTTCGACAAGCCCCAGGTCAGCACCCTTAATTCAGGGTGGGGCCTCTACGTTCATCTTGCAATTCACAAACTATCACAACACCCAGTATCAAAAGGTTGTTGATATGTAACCCAGGAGAGTTGTCCCCAACTGCTACTTTTCAAGTTCAGAAGTTCCTCTAATCAAAAAAATTAAAACAAAACCAAGAACAGCTAAACTCTCTCCCTTTTACAACGTTCCAGGCCAAATGTAAGAAAGGCCACATTTAAGATACACATATCTGGAAACGAGTTATTTAAAATGGGCTCAAGAAAAGCCGTTCATCTTTCATATATTCCTACGCAGAGAACTGTGTCTCAGATGTGGGAAAAACAACCTGATGGTTTTTTACCTGCAGAATCGCATTACCCGTAGAGCACAAGCTGGACAACAGTGCCCCAGAGCACTCACACAAGACCCAGCGCCCTTGTGCTTCAGTTCTTAAAGGCTCCACATTTACTGGCTTTAGCAATGAATTCCTTTAGCAGAGGGCCATCCATTTGCCAAAATGCTGCAGTCTGTGTAACTTCTGTCAAATGATTGATGCAAAACTTAAAGCAGAATTCTTCTAAATCCTGGACACACACAACAAAAATAAAAACAAAAACAAGCCTTTTAAAATTAACTTTGATTGACTTCTTTCTCTCCAAGACCCTCATCCCAAATCTGTAACCCTCCCCCAAAAAAGGTATTTGAGGCCAGGTACCTGAAACTAGGCAAACAAGTGATCACAGGAAGGCGTCAGAAAAACACATGCTATTTACTCATAACACAGTAAAAGCAATGGTTCCCTAACTCAAGTGTGACTCTTCAAAACATAGACACACACACACACACACACACATGCACGCACACACAAGATCACGATGAACAAGTGTCCTGCATGGTCATTACATAGTCTAGTTACACTCAAAGACATTGTTGTAAAAGGCACAATGCCACTTTAGTTCATATAATGTGTTTTGTCATATTCAAGAAATCGGAGAAAAGAATTAAGAAGCGGGTTAGTTTAAGAAAGAGAAGACTTTAAAAAATAGAAAAGTGGTGAAGAGATGTGGTCAACTTAAAGTGACACATTAAAAAGAAAATCCCCCAAACCTTAAATTCATTTTCATGCTCTCCTAATAAAAATGACTTTGTCCTTAAAGCCACATAGAATAATATACTACAACTTCCACCACACTAATTTCTCACATAGTCAACCCCAGAGAAGTATATTTACACAGATTGGATTTTTCGCCAGATAAATGGAAGTTGCCAGCTACTAACATTCAGAAGAAAGTAACATACACAAGTGGTCAACCAGAACAATTTAAAAATCAATTTCTGCCTATGGTAATACATCCTCTTTCATCTCCGGCAAAACTCTAATATTGTCTGTTCCTTCAAATGTTGGAACATATTTAATATATTTGTGAAATCAATTTGGTACCTGGAATATACACAAAGACTAAATATATAAAAGCAAATCACCCTAAAAGCTCTTATCATAATTAGCTTGGTTTTTATAACTTGGCCAGCTGATAATTCTACACTGAAAGTCAACACTTAAGGTTCTATCAAACCAGAAACTCAATGACATTTAAACAGAAACATTAAAACTTTACATTTCCTGCCACCACGAGATGGGAATTTTAGACAGAGTGGGGAAGGGCCCACATAAACATATAGAAAGTCCCCTGTTCTGCTTTCTCGGAGCAAATAATGATTTCCTTGTTCTAAGGGTCCTTCCCCTGGCGGAAAGATGCTCTAGACTAAACTCAGGACACCCACACAGTCATGTAACCGTGAAGAGATAAAATCACACCTAATGTGTATCAGCCAGCTGCTGCCAGAGTTTTGTTTTCTAGATAATTCAAAATGCATTTAAAATGTTAGCACAATCTCTGGATCCATGTCTTTTAATCAGAGATTCTCTGCGGGCTAAATGTCCAGCTGAATGAATGCTCTGTGTGTTATCATAAATTAAAATGCTGAACTATATAAGCATTCCCTCTCAGGTTATTATTCAAGAAAAAGCACTACTCCAGGTATTATAACCCAATGATTAATAAATAGCTCTTAGGACTAAATTATATTCCACAGGAACATAAAAGTCACATTTTAATCTTATTTAGTTATCAAAAATGGAAAACTATTTACACACAACTTAGGAAGTAGCCAGTCATAAGCACAGAAAGTTCTTCAGGCCGGGCGTGGTGGCTCACGCCTGTAATCCTAGCACTCTGGGAGGCCGAGGCGGGCGGATTGTTTGAGCTCAGGAGTTCGAAACCAGCCTAAGCAAGAGCGAGACCCCGTCTCTACTAAAATAGAAAGAAATTAATCGGACAACTAAAAATATATAGAAAAAATCAGCCGGGCATGGTGGCGCATGCCTGTAGTCCCAGCTACTCGGGAGGCTGAGACAGAAAGATTGCTTGAGCCCAGGAATTTGAGGTTGCTGTGAGCTAGGATGACGCCACGGCACTCTAGCCTGGGCAACACAGTGAGACTCTGTCTCAAAAAAAAAGAAAGTTCTTCAAACCATGTAATGTGTAAGGATACTTAAATATTAAATTTTAATTATATAATTTCAAATTCACAGGAAAAGAATACACTAAATTCTGGATTGTAAAACCTTATCACTTTGGTATCCAGTAATTTGGAATTCAAGATCTTTTGGGGGTATATGAAAAAGTGAGTTTATTCAGCTAACTATGCAGAAATTACCTTTAATATAAACTTTAAGAACTTTTTTATACAGTACAGGTATACAGATGATGCTAATTACAATCACTTCATACATTTATGAAACTAGTTCTATCAAACTGCCTTCCCTTTTCCTCCAATTAGTTTGAATTAGTGAGATATCTCAGTATTCAATAAATGTTCAACAGTTTCAAACACTGAAAGTCAAAACTAGAGAATACCGAAAACAATCTAAATCTGGGTTGTTTAAATAACTAATTGAACCGTGGTTAAGGTGGATCTATGTAAAAGGAAGCACTTCATGCACCTGGAGAGAAAAATTCGAATTTGTAAGTTCTTTTACATGAACCAGAGAATGGCATCGTCAAGCATAACCACTTAGCAAGCAAGGCCCTGAGTCAGTTTGCCTTTGATAGGTGAATTAATAAACACCCTTCTGGTGAGATCCCTCTTCAATATCACAAAAGCCTACATGAGCTGTTCATCTCATTCTGCAAATGATCTTCAGATACCTAGACAAGACAATGCAACTCTTGGCCAACTAAAAGTCAACTGTAACACGATTGCTGGGTTTTAAACAAAACAATTCCAAGAAGGACAAGAAGGATCATTTGACCAGTAGATGAAAAAAGTTCATGATAGAATGAAAGAGTCTTCTTACAGCCCCTGGAATAGGGAAGTGGAGAGGGTGTAAAATCATAGAGTCTAATACAGTCTTCTCTGCATCAGAAACTAAACTCTATGTTTATGACATTCTGTGGTGAAATTATTATGGTGGTCCTGAGTGAGGCAAATGAGATAAAATACCACCTTTATTGTTATTAGCAAAGAAGATAAAAATTAAAAATTGCTATTCTGAAGTAATTTATAGATTCGTTCTAAATCTTTAAACATTTAAACTATTCCAGTCACTATACATACTCTGAAAATAAGTTGTTTTTCCTTTCCACAGATTTTCTTTAGTAACAAAACACAAACAGTTGATAGTCATCTTCATTTAAAAAATGCTAATGCAGCCTTGAACAGCCTTCTTATCCAGTCCTAAAATTCCAAAGCTAACACTTCTTGGAAAGACGACTTGGCCAGGATGAGACAGGTACCTCCACATCACAAGCCAACTTGACAGACATCCAGATGGCAAAAGATCACAACCCACACCTAACTCCGTCTAAACATGTTGTTAAGGAAATTATAAAACAGAACTCCAAAACCATTAAGTCTATAATTAAGTTTATAGTATATCAAGTACAAAATATTCCAGATCAAAGTGGTTTTTGGTTCTGTTTTTCAGAATGCATTTAAACATCCGACCATATGGGGAAAAACAAAGTTCCTTTTACCACACAAAAAACATTTTACAACCTACTGCTCACGGAACACTTTTAATTTGGCCCTCTGAAAGAAGAAAAACATGCTGGTCATCCAGCCTTAGCACCAAGCTTTCCAATACTCATATCCCAAACCAACTTTACTATTAGATTCCTACGCTCATATTTACTGCTTCCCACCAAAAACAAGA